ATCCGAAGCAGGCTCCAGGCTCTGAGCTGTCAGCACGACGCGGGGCTCAAGCCCACAAACCATGAGATCATGACCTCAGCCAAAGTCAGACGCTCAACCGACTGAGCCACCCAGGCACCCCAAGAGTCATTTTAAAGGAAGTTTCAGTTCTGTTGGCTTGTACAACCTTAGTAGATGGAGAATACAATTTATTTATTTGTTTTTTAAATTTTTTTAAATGTTTTCATTTATTTTTGAGACAGAGCATGAGAGGAGGAGGGGCAGAGAGAGAGGGAGACAGAATCTGAAACAGGCTCCAGGCTCTGAGCTGTCAGCACAGAGCCCAATCCGGGGCTCGAACCCACAAACGTGAGATCATGACCTGAGCCGAAGTTGGACACTTAACCGATTGAGCCACCCAGGTGCCCCTATTTATTTATTTTTTAATGTTTATTTTCTCAATAGAGACCCAGAGTGTGAACAGGGGAGGGGCAGAGAGGGGGGGATCCGAAGCAAGCTCCAGGCTCTGAGCTGTCAGCACAGAGCCCAACGTGGGGCTCGAACCCACGAACTGTGAGATCATGACCTACCTGAGTGAAGTCAGATGCTTAACCGATTGAGCCACCCAGGCGCCCCAAAGAGTACAATTTTAAAGAAAGAAAGAAAAAATAATATTGGATTCCCCTTCAAGAAATTGTAAACAGGAGAGGTGCCTGGGTGGCTCAATCAGTTAAGCGTCTGACTTCAGCTCAGGTCATCATCTCACAGGTGGTGAATTCGAGGCCCACATGGGGCTCTGTGCTGACAGCTCAGAGCCTGGAGCCTGCTTCGGATTCTGTGTCTCCCTCTCTCTCTGCCCCTCTCCCCGCTCATACTCTGTCTCTCTCTCTCTCTCTCAAAAATACACTTGATTTTAGCCAAAAGGCCGAGAAGCAAACTCTCTCTCAAAAGTTAATAACACATTAAAAATTTTTGAAAAAAAAGAAGTTGTAAACAGGAGCCAGCCCTTGAGGGGCACATGGCTGGCTCAATAGGTGGAGCATGTGACCTTGATCTTGGGGTTGTGAGTTTGAGTCCCATGTTGTGTAAAGAGATTACTTAAAAAAAAAAAAGAAAAAGAAAAAAAAAAGCCAGCCCTTGAGGGCAGCATAAGGGTCAAGCTGGCTTTCACCTATACACAACAGTAAACTCTGAAAAGGGAGAGACTTGAAAGTTACCTTACTCCTAATTGCAATCCCCACGTTGAAGCTGGAAGACATAGACTAGCAGACTGTATAGCTGAGCTATCTTCTAGAAGAGAGCCACGTATGAGGTGGATAGTACTATCTAAGCCAAGTCATAGCTGCAGGGCACCTCAGGACACTGAAGCCATTCCACCTATGCTCATAACCTGTTAGGACCACTTATGTGGGACTTTGGATAAATTATTTAACCTTTCCTTCAAGAACTACTTATTAAGCTGCTATTCTGTGCTGTACTCTACTAAGTGCTAGGGATACAAGAGTGAAAAAAAATAGATGAAAATCACTGTTCTTTTTGTGGTGGTGGTGGGGTGTGTGTGTGTAGAGGGGGCGATGGTAATGTTTCATGAGCTGGGTGCAGGGACTTGGGTGTTCAGTTTGTAAAAAACCATTGAGCGCTTACATGCACTTTTTGTATTTCAACAGTTTTTAGAAATCCATGGCCTTGAGATCATAGCAGTATTAAATAATTATGTCAAGCATGTAGAACTGTTTGTCATACAGTAAGCACTCAAAAAATAGTAGCTATTATCCCAGTGATACGTCTTACTAGAGCAAACTAGGCCATCAGGGGATGTTCAAGAGAGATTCTGCCGTCTCTGCTGCGAGGATTAATCCACAGAGCTCTCCTATAAACCAGTTAGGTGCAGACCACGCATCTGTAGCAAGAAGTGTGCTTTATGATAAAAAAAAAAAATAATGGAGCGCCTGGGTGGCTCAGTTGGTTGAGTGTTGGACTCTTGGTTTCAGCTCAACTCATGAACCCAGGGTTGTGGAATTGACACAGGGCTCTATGCTGAGTGTGGAGTCCGCTTAAGTTCCTCTCTCTCTCTCCCTAAAATAATAATCATAAAAACTAAGATAAAAAAATAAAGAGGCATTGGCTCACACTTGTGAACTGAAATGATGCAGGGCTGCTGTGACCATGTGGACAGTTGGATACTGCACAAAGGTTCCATATTTAAGGGACTGCCATTCGTGGTTTGTAAATTTATTATTTTCTGGTGGAATTCTGGTGATCAGTGTCTTATTCTGACAAAGCTGACGGTAAGACAACTTTTGTGAAGAGCACCATTTTCTGATGTGCAGAGACGCTGCATTGGAAATACCATCCAGGAACTGGGAAGTTGAAGAAACTACTTTCTAGGAATTGCCCTTTAGAATAAATACAGAGTCCCTGTGTATCCGCCCGAGACTACAGAGCCCCAATCCCTGACACTTGACTACCAGGGCCTGTGGTTCTTTTAATCACGGAACTAAAAGAAATGCTTTCTGGTTTACTCAACAGCCTTTGTGGTTCTGGATGTTGGAAGTCTTTGCCTAAGAGACCGGTCTTCTCTGGAGTTCTGACAAGTCGTGTTTCTGAGGACAAGGCACGGACATTGTGGCTTCATTGAGGCCCTGCCCCCTCTTAGCAAGGCACCCTGTGTTTCTCCCAGTACAGTAGGGCCCAGCTGGCCTCGTCTTAAGAACCATGAGAGGGGTGCCTGGGTGGCTCTGTCAGTTGAGTGTCCGACTTCGGCTCAGGTCATCTCAGTCCGTGGGTTCGAGCCCCACATCGGGCTCTGTGCTGACAGCTCAGAGCCTGGAACCTGCTTCAGATTCTGTGTCTCCCTCTCTCTCTGCCCCCGCCCCCCACTCGCTCTCCGTCTCTCAAAATAAAATAAAGACATCAAAAAATTTTTTTTTAAATCATGAGAGAGGCTTGTTAAGCACGTACTCCCAGGTCTGCAGCCCAGAAAATCTTAGGTGGTCCAGACATCTGTGTTTAACCACCATTCCGTGTGACTCTCATGTTCAAGGGAGTTTAGGAAACCCTGTCCTAATGGGATTTCTAAGAAAGGGACTAAAATCAGATTAACTGGAGCTCAGTCAGTCCCCTCATCTTATAGAGAGAAGGGGTGTGGGAAAGGGGAAGGCAATATTCAAGTGCAGAAAGGTGTGGTAGGGAGAGGAAAAGAAATACCTGGAGGGAAAGCTGGATCTCGCCTCTGGCTCTTCCAGGCTGAGCTGGGGGAGAGGCTGCTTGCTGGCATGGGTGGGTGGAGAGCTAGTGTATGCAACCGGCTTGGCTCTTGTTGGTAGTGTGTGTGGGGGTGGTGGTGGTAGTGAGGAACAAGGTGCTATTCATGCAGCAGCCACAGGTCAAAGAGCAAAGCAGTCACAGCACTGTCTGCCCTCTGGTCTGGGACTGGGCCTGGATTGGGTCGCTGGGCCAACACCCCAGTAAGGGGACAGGTCTTGTCTCATCCTCCTTTAAGGACCAATGAAGCTCTAGGGACTGATGTAAAGCAGGCACTGAGGTGCTGTGGGTCAGTGACAGAATGGGGGCATCAGAGACTAGCCACGAAATCCTAGACAGTCCAGGGGTCTGCAAAGCTTCCCCAGCCCTGGGCTCCAGCGCTTGAACAAAGTCCTCAGTGGGACCTGAGTCTTGACTGGAATCTCACTGCCCACAGCCCCTTCAGCACGGGGCAGTACCCATCCTGGAGATGGGTGGGGGCAGAGGGGCTGAACCAAACAAGTAGCCTCCTTCAAGGACCCGCTGGAAGCCTCACCAGCCAGAAGAAAAAAGCTCCCAAGTTTGCCCTGCCCTCTATGGCCTTGGCTGCCTGGATACAGGGGAGAAGAGGGCCTGAGCCCAAGCTACGAGGGGGGCCCTCACCCCCAGTTCAGACCCTGGAACATGTCACCAGAGCCAGAGTCTGGGACACTCCAGCAGCGTATCCCCTCCTGCCCACCAGGCCCAGGCCAGAAGCACGGAGTCTGGGTGGGTGCACTCAGGGGACCTGGGGGCAGGGGGACGCCGCCTGGCCAGGACCTTCTGCCATTGTCTCCTTCTAAGAAGCCTCCGCCTTTCCTTTGAAAAGAGGCTTGCTGGTGAGGGTGGAGTTCAGGCTAAGAAACCAAACCAGTTGGATGTGGAGCACGCTGCCAGTGGCGGGTGGTGGGGGAGGAGCTGGTGGCTTCGGGGCAGTGGAAATGCAATGGGCCCAGAGTCTGCGTGCCGGCTGCACACTTCCTGACGGCAGGACTTGGGCATGTCACTTAATCTGAGCCTCAGTTTTGTCTTCTACAAAATGAGGCTAATGGCAACCCCCCACACACTTGTAAGGGTTCAAGTTAAAGCCCTGGGAGTGTGCACTTGTCTGCACTATTGCTACTGAGGGCCCTGATCCCTGCCCTCAGGACAGAATGGGGCGGTCCCTGGGCCTCCCACCCCTTCTCACGAGAGAGGCCAGCTGGTTCCTCCCCTGCACCCATAGAACACGGTGTGACCAGCTGTTGCTGGGGGGCTGGGGTGTCCTCCCTTCCAGACTCCAGGCACAACAGCTAGAAGAGCAGAGTGATAAGTTGTGGTCATCAGGGAACAAGGTTCAAGACCAACAAGTAGGGCAGGAGAGGTGGGAAGGAAGGGCGGGATCTGGCGGGGTCACCAGTAAACTGGTTTACACAACAAAGGGGAAGGCTCTGGTCGACAGAGGAGAGGCAGGAGGGAGGGCGGCCAGATGCCCAGGGCGCAAGCGAGGCCCCTCCTGGCCTGGGGAGCTCAGAGAGTCCAAAGGCAGCTGAGGAGCAGGGACAAAGCCGGGTCCAGGGCCTCACCTCAAAACAACCTGGGCCTCGCCACAGCTGGCAGGCCCAGTGTCAATAAGGGGGTGTGGGAGCAGCCTCTCTGCACTTGGCCCTCCCGGCCTGGAAGGTGAGGGGCAGAAGGTAAGGGGCGGGAGAGCAACAGGGACTCCAGGCCCCTCTGAGGAGCCAGAAGGGACTTAAAAATCAGAACAAAAAAGGCCAAAAGGTTTTTACTCTGTGAGCCCTGGGGAGGGCCGGGCAGAGTGCAAGGTGTCCGCAGGAGGGGGTGAGCAGGGGTGGGGTGGCTGGTAGTCTTGCTTCCCAGCTGGGAAGGAGTGAGGGGAGGTGAAGGCCGGGCGCCCTCCCCACACCTGCCCCTCCGGAGTTCGTACTGGAGTCCTCGGCAGGCGTGAAACCGCTCGGCCCGCCCGAAGCCTGGCGCAGAAGAGCCGCCTGGCAGAGGGGGGAGGTCGGCAGGCTGCCGCAGCGGGTCTCAGCTCTCCCCTGGGCCTGTGTCTTTCCCGGCAGGAAGCCGGCGCGGCAGGGAGGACCTGGAGCGGGACAGCCGCCCGCCTGCCCGCCAGAGCTGTGCCCGATTCCTCAGCTTCCAGGTCGGGGGTCGCGGTACAGGGGGTGCTGGGTTAGGCTCAAAGCTCATCCGGGGGGCTGTGTGTGAGGGGGGATGCCTTCTGGATGCCCTCATCCTCGTCAGAGCTGGGGTCTTCTCCGAGGCCTAGCTCCTTCCTCTGTTTGCTGCCACTGCCCGAGGCCTTGACCTTGCTGCTCTTCTTTTTAGACTTCTTCCCACCCAGGGCGGCTGTGTCCCCCTTCTTGCCGGACCACTGCTCTGCGAGGCAACCTGGGGTGAGGAGAGACACCCTCAGCAGACGGGTCTGCTGGCTGAGGAGCGCTGATTGGGTGGCCCTGGAAGCGGCAGCTGGCAGTGGTGCCCAACGTCCAAGTCCCTGCCTCCTGCCTGTCTGTGGCCCCCCAGCTCCTCGGGGCGGGGGGCATCTGAGTTATCTCCATGTTATTCTCCCGGTTTCAGTACCTCTTACTCTACACTGTCCCATCAAGCTCCTCGAGGGCAGAGAGGCTCTGGTGTTCTCTAGTTCTTATTTCTTTTCTGTCCTCTCCTTACCCACCTTCCCTGAAGGGGAGCAAGCAGTAAGACCAAGGGCCCACCCGCCCTGCCCTCCCTCTCCCTCAGACTCACTGGTGTCCTTGCCCTTCAGCACATGGTTGGCGCAGAGGAACTGAGTCAGGTCTTCCTCCTGGTGGTTCCTGTACCAGTCCTCGATCACCTCCTCAAACTCTTCCACCAGCACGTCGCACTATGAATCAGAACACACCGCATTGGCAAAGCCCCGGCATGGACTCGCCCCAGGGGGAGCTCAGCCAAGCCTCACAACTCACTGCAGGACAGGCGGGTGGCTGGGATTCTCCTGAAAAAACTGAGCACAGAGAGGTGAGTGAGTTGCCCAAAGCCTCCCAGCTCTTGGTGGCCTTCTTCAGCCCCAGGCCCAGCCCAGTCCCTACCCACCCCTCTGGGGCACGGTAGCCTGAGGGCTAAAGGGCCCTTACCTGCTTCTTAAGGTCAGCCACCTCTGCAGAAGTCTCATTCCACAGCTCGTAGGGGATATCCATCACCACCTTGACCCCTTTGTGGACCAGGTTGTGCAATGTCTCAAAGGTCTCAGACATACCCTGGAAGAGACAACCAGGCATGAGAAGCCGAGAGCCTTCCCCGCCTCACACCCTCCTCTTTGGGAGGTGCTGGAGGCCCAAGGACCCGGCTCTGAGAAGTCAGGACCCTCCGGCTTCTCACACTCGACCTCACCTTCCTCTCCCCTCTTTCAGGCCTGCCTCCTACAACCCCTACACACCTACATCTACACCCACACCCACCCCATCCTGCCTCCCCACACCTCCACCTTTCAAAAGGGGCTGCTGTGGGGGGTGCCTGGGTGGCTCAGTAGGTTAAGCGTCTGACTCTTGACTTTGACCCAGGTCATGAACTCACAGCTGTGGGATGGAGGCCCGCGTTGGGCTCTGCACTGAGCATGGAGCCTGCTTAAGATTCTCTCTCTTTCTCTCTCTCTTTCTCCCCCCCTTTCCTCCCCACTCTCTAAAAAAAATAAAATAACAACAATAATTTTAAAAAACAACCCCAAAAAGGGCTCCTGTTATCTTCGGGGCCTTTGAATAGCTACTCCTTTCCCAGGAACGAAGAGTGTCTTGGCTCTCCCCCCTCATTGTGTCACTGTGGCCGGGAACACTCACGCCCCCTGGCCAGATCCACTCACTGCTCCAGGTTCTTCCCAGGGCTGTGCCTTTCCTGGGTTGGAAGAGGGCACAAGCGAGGCAGGGAAGACAAGGCTCCGTAAAAATATTTTGGCCAGCTACCTAGGTCTTCTCCCTGGAGACTACACCTACGGTGATCTACTTCCTCTATCTTTCCAGAGGTAATGCATGCAACTACAAGCGAATATACATACAAATCTATCCTGCGCTCCTCACCCCCACTTTTTACACCAGCGTGGTATAGAGCAGACACACTATTCTGCACCTTGGCCTTATTTACTTAATAACAGACCTTGGAGATAATTTTGATTCAATCCATAAAGAGCTACCTTATTCTTTGTTTTGTCCACTGAACGGCAATATCAATTTATTTAACCACTGGTGGATGGTTAGGTTGTTTCTCATTTTATTGCTATGGAAAATGATCTTAAACATTTTTTTTAAGTTTATTTATTTAGGGGTGCCTGTGTGGCTCAGTCGGTTAAGCGACCAACTTTGGGTCAGGTCATGATCTCATAGTTCATGGGTTCAAGTCTGACGAAGGTCTCTGTGCTGACAGCTCATAGCCTGGAGCCTGCTTGGGAATCAGTGTCTCCCTCTTTCTCTGCCCCTCCCCCACTCATGCTCTGTCTCTATCTCTCTCCCTCAAAAATAAATAAAAACATTTAAAAATTTTTATAAGTTTATTTTGAGAGAGAAAGCATGAGTGCGGGATGGGCAGAGAGAGAGAGAGAGAGAGAGAGAACCCAAGCAGGCTGCATGATTATCAGCAGAGAGCCCGACACAGGGCTCGAACACATGAACTGTGAGATCAAGACCTGAGCCACAGTTAGATGCTTAACCAACTGAGCCACCCAGGGGCCCCATGAACATTTGTATATTAAAGCAAAACCTGGATTTATTACTGAGTAGAATACAAAATTCATACAAAATTTTACAAATCTAACACTTCTGCTGCTTAAGGCTCTCTAGGGTTCCCAGGGGTTTCTGACTAATCAGCTTCACTGGAAGGGCACTCAGGTGGAGAAATGCGGGCAGCAAGTCTCTTACGATGTGCCAGGCACTGAAAATGGAGAGACAAAGAACTAGGGGCCTTGTTGTAAGAAACTCCTTCCTCAGGGACAGAGGCATTCGCGCATAGAATAAGTGCACTAAATGTCACACAGGCACCCCGACAAAGGTCCAGGTGGGTGCCCTGTGGGCCCAGGGGAATCAGGGAATAAACCCCCCCTCCACACGCTGCCGTGTCTTCTGACATCTCTAAATCCCACAGGTCAGTACTCCCTGAGCTCTCACTGCCCAAGTATCCAGGCCTCCATGGGGGCTGCCACCCTGCAGCATTTCGGCCTGAGGCTGAGACAGGGCCCTGATGGGCAGCCCAGGCCATGAAGAATGTGTCTATTGCCACTGAAAAACCAGGCCACTGTGTGTGGGGGGGGAATGCACACCGTGATCAATGACGAATGGGAAGAGGCCAAGGGGGGAGACCCCAAGCGTGATCTTCAAATCACACCCACACCGGTGGCCCAGAGGCACCTGCAGGCCTGACCCCAGTGGGGATGAAGGACAAGCATGAATCCAACCTTGGCAAACCGGTTGCTGCCGGTCCTCTCCTTGTGCAGGCTATAGTCCAGGAGCCTCTTGCAGATGGTCTCAGTGACTTCGATTAAGCGTAAGTCCCTGCAGAGACAGCAGCGCGAGAGGGACTGAGCTCCTGCCCCGGCCCCGGCGGCCCTGCTACCCCAACACCTGCGCGTCTCAGCAAAGGGAAGCCAGAGCTGGAAGGAAGATAGGTCATCTGGTCTGGGGGCCCTGAAACGCTGGAACACAGACCAGAGAGGCAAAATTGTAACAGCTCTGTGGGAAGGCATTTTTTATAAAGCTAAATGATTCAGTATTTAGATGGCTTTATAAAGCAAAATATTAAATTTTGTTGTTAAAATATTTCTTTTTGTTGTTGTTTTAAGATTTATTTTTAGGGGCACCTGGGTGGCTCAGTTGGTTGAGCCTCCAACTTCAGCTCAGGTCATGATCTCACGGTTCGTGGGTTCGGGCCCAGCGTCAGGCTCTGTGCTGACAGCCCAAGAGCCTGGAGCCTGTTTCAGATTCTGTGTCTCCCTCTCTCTCTCTGACCCTCCCGTGTTCATGCCGTCTCTCTTTCAGAAATAAATAAAACATTAAAAAAATTTTTTTAATTAAAAAAAATTACTTTTAAGTAATCTCTACACTCACTCAATGTGGGGCTTGAATTCACAAGCCTGAGATGAAGGGTCGCATACTCCATCAAATAAGCCAGCTGGGAGCCCCCAAATATTTCATTTTGAAAGGACGATCATGACTGATGAAAGGCTTTTGGGGGGGGTTATTTTTGGTATTTATTCCTGGCAAAATTAAAAATTGGTAATCCTATGTTACCAATTTTTTTTTTTAAATTTGCACTGGTCCAAGTAATCCAAGAGTCTTATCAGATGAGATAAGGCCCAACAGTCTTGCTTTGACAGATAAGGAGCGGAATGAAGGGATTTATGAAGCCCACACAAAGAGCTGGGGGCAAAAGCAAACTTAGGTGTTGGTCAGAGCCACCTCCCTTTGGTGGGTCTGCCTCGCTGGAAGGGAGAAGGGAAGTCCAAGCATCTAAAGCCTTTAGGAACAAAGCAGGCCGGGCTAGTGGGTACCGTTTTTCACTTACGACTTGGTGTATTTGACTCCGGAAGCCTTCCGGTCCAGGATGCCATAGCCTGTGTCGATCACCTCCTTGGTCTTGCCGGTTTCCTCAAAAGCTGACTTCAGCTCCACGGCAACGTACTTACACACTGGGGGCGGGGGACACAGCACAGCCCACTGAGTGCACGTGAGTCTGATAGGAGCCAGCACCCAGCAAAACACAGTAAGGGGGGGTGCCTCTCCCGGACTGGGTCAACACTCCAGGCAGGGAAGGAGTTAGCCTCAGACCACCACGTGGAGGCCACTGGGAGAAACTCGGCTCCAAGACTCACTGCCCCGTGTGCCCAGTCCTGGCCCTTATCCTAAGGACTCCATTTCTCCCAGCTCCTTCCTGTCCCCCCACCCCCACCACCCTCTGTAATCATTTTACTTTAAAATTTTCAAACATACAAAAAAGCTGAATGAGTACAATGAACAACTATACATGTTCCACTCATTTCAACACTTTGTTAATGATTTGCTACAATCTCTCTCCAATACATAATATAAAATAATATGATAATATAGTAATATATCTCAACAATATTCACTGTTTTTGAGAAACCATTAAAAATGATTTTTTTAATGTTTATTTATTTTTCAGAGACAGGGCACGGGTGGGGGAGGAGCAGAGAGAGTGGGAGACACCGAATCCAAAGCAGGCTCCAGGCTCTGAGCTGTTGGCACAGAGCCCGACACGGTGCTCGAACTCCCGAACCATGAGACCACGGCCTGAGTCAAAGTCAGACGCTTGACTGACTGAGCCACTCAGGCACCCCTTTGCTAAACCATTTTAGAAATAAGTTGCAGATATCATGATCTTTCACCCCTAGAAATGTCCTCATGCATCTCTGGCGATTAAGGACCTTCTCCATGACAACCATACAGCCATACCAATACTCAGAAAATTAACAATAATTCCAGCTTCACTTAATACTCAGTCCACATTCAAATTTCCCCAATTGTCCCCAAATGTCTTGAATGCCTGTTTTATTACTTGATCTCATACGTTACTCCACTCCCAGCTCTCTGTTCTGTTTCTGTACATTCATCTAGTTTCCTCTTACTC